TCGGGTTTGTCTATCCTGGTCTGGCTTGCTGGTGCCGTGCCGTGGTCTGTCTGTGTGTGTGTGTCTGTCCTGGTCTGGCTTCTGGTGCCGTGCCGTGGTCTGTCTGTGTGTGTGTCTTTCCTGGTCTGGCTTGTGGTGCCGGGCCGTGGTCTGTCTGTGTGTGTGTGTGTCTGTCCTGGTCTGGCTTGTGGTGCCGTGCCGTGGTCTGTCTGTGTGTGTGTCTATCCTGGTCTGGCTTGTGGTGCCGTGCCGTGGTCTGTCTGTGTGTGTGTGTCTATCCTGGTCTGGCTTCTGGTGCCGTGCCGTGGTCTGTCTGCGTGTGTGTCTGCCCTGATCTGGCCTCTGGTGCCGTGCCGTGGTTCTTTTTGTGTCGCTCCTGGCCGGTCAGCCGATCTGTCCGAGCCTTGACCGGGCGCGGGTGGTGCGACCAGCACGCGCGCTGGAGGGCGAGGACAGCGACGACGAGGAGGAGGCGGAGATCGCCTCTCTGGACGAGGATGAGGACGAGATGGACGAGGACTCGATCCAGTACCTGGAGCAGCTGCAGAAGAAGGTGCAGTCGGCGGCGCCCAGCTCTCCCTTCACAATCTCTACGAAAATTATCGAGGTGAGTGGCGCGTGCGGCTGCCCAGTGCTTTCAACGATGAGAGAACGGGCTTGAGAGACGGCAGTGAGGAGCAAAACAAAATGGCAAATCTACTAGATGGCATGCGGTTATGCCTTCGCTGTTAATATATCGTAACTCAATTAATTTCGGAAATACTTGTTGATAGGGAGCGAGCGCTAGCAATGCTTTTGCGATAGATGTACGCGCAGAACGAGCGGGGTGATACAGTGGGTGTCATTCTGACGTCGATGAAAACATCAGTTAGGCCACGACTTGTATTTTAGGCCTGTTCAAGTGGAAGTGGACGCGGAAAAGTGGTCTTTTCCGCGTCCCGGCCGGTTATTGACGCGTCTATGGGTCGAACATTGTCGACGTCGCGTAGTGATTTGTAGGTAATACCTTGGTTCAATTTCACATTGTGTATTAATTGCTTTCGCGTTTTGCTCTGTCTGGTTATTAGGGTCACACGTCGGGTCTACGGGACGTGGACCCGGGTGCGACCCAGGTTTTTTCCAATATCACGTTCTGACGTTACCAACGTGAGCGAATGGGTGGAGGTATATCTAGTTTAAATTGTAGTGTTCCAGAAAATGGTAGCGGCCGTGGAATTGGTGGCAGGGGGCGGGGGGGGGGGGCGTGGGAGGGGTATTACCGGACCGGAGCGACGTGCCAGGCCTGCGGGGCGCCCCCAGCGGCGGCGGCCGGCCTGACCGGGAGTCTCCGCCGCCGCAGGACGACGGCAGCGAGTTCAGCCTCGACTACGACGAGCAGTTCGAGGACTACACGACGCCACTGGACGCGGCCGACTGTCCGGTGGACGAGTTCGTGGTGTTCCGCGAGACGCTGGAGGGCCTGCAGCGCCAGCAGCCCGAGTGGTACCAGGCGCTGACGGCGCCGCTCTCAGAAGACGACCGCAAGCAGCTGCAGGAGGCGTTCACCATGGCCGAACAGCGCAAGGCGGCCGCGCACGCCGAGGCCATCAAGAAGCAGGGAGGTAAGGCGCTGGCGGCCGGCAGGCGGCAGACCTTACGCCAGTCGCAACCCGGCTGGCGCTGGCCGCGCGCGCGCTGTGCTGGTCGCAGCTGAGCACGTGCCCCCCACCCCCCGAGCTGGGCACTGAGCCTAGCTCGGGGCCGATCACTTGACCCGTCAGGTAGCTTAATGTATTGGGGTATATGCTACACTGGACATCAGCTCAGCAGATGCGCCCGCGTGATGGGTTTCATTTTGAACATCCTGTACCGTGATCTGACGAGCGAACGATTATGTCATGTGTAGTTCTGAGGGAGCCATGCGCAAAACGCGATGTTGCCTATTACATTGTACCTAATTTCTTGTTCGCTGCGGTGGCGGCTAGATACAGACGATTGATTTAGGTGCTTCCTGCCTCCGAGTCGGGGATGTTTTCCGCGTTCTGGGCGTGTAGTTCGCTTTCCCGTAAGCAAGGGCTGCTGGTGCGTTGAGAACGCTTCGGGCCCGGCCGGTGACGCGTGTAGGGCCAGCGAGACGCACACGGCGGCGGGACGCGCCGGATCGCCGCTGACGGACCCTCGGCGCCGCGTTCCAGGATACAACTTCGAACAGAAGACGGTGCCTTCCACCTTCAACTTCGGCTCCGGCTCCGGCAACGTCACGTTTGGCAGCCCGTAGCGGCGGCGAGCGCGCGCGAGGCCGGCCACCAGACTGCGCCGACGCCGCTCGAGTCAAAGCTGAAGCCTGCGATACGTCCGCGAAGCGGCCGGCGCGGCGCCGTCCCCACACGGCTCTCCCATTCAGGATTGGTATTTATCGGTTTCACTAGCGTGGTAAGCGCGGCGACGCGGCGGGGCGCGCGCTTCCGTGCCGGTGGCGGGTGGCGAGCGGCGCGCGCGCGCGCGCGCGCCGCGGGCTGGCAGTCCCGCCGCGGACCGCCCCTCTGTGATGCCGCCCGGCGCTGGGAGCGCCACCGCCCGGGCCTAGGCAGCAGCGCCAGTGAGGACTCTCCTGGACAGTTCTGTTGCCTTATTGTTGTTGCAAATTTGCAGCGAAACAATAATAACCGGTCGAATTTGGGAGGCGTTTGTTGGTGGTGGTGGACGCCGGTGCAGGGCGGCCGGCGGCGGCAGCGCGCGCCGCGGTGGCGCCCGCGCCCGTGTCGCCGCGTCCGCTGCGGCTTGGCCCGGGACCCGGCAGGGTTTCGGCCGCCCACCGCGACGGCGGCGGCTGGGCCCCTCTGCTGCCCGGTGCTGTGTGGCGGTACCCGAGAGCCGTTTGCCGTGTTTTTGGTTCATGCGTTACGTCGTGCGCGTCGCGCGAGCCTCGCTCGGGGAAAGGGGGAGGGGGGATCGTGCTCGAGCTGGGGCGGCGCGGCCGAACCGCGGCGCTGCTGGTATGACGTGTGCACATCTGTCTTGTATTAATGCATTCTATTGAAAGATGGACATGTTTGTGCCCGAGCCCGTCGTGGTAATGCTCTCAGAGAACAGCACGCATGCACCAGGGCCATTATGGTCCCAGTTACCGGGGGGGGGGGGGGGGGGGGGCTCGCTCCGGCTCTATGAAATCGCAGAACTGGGGAGGGGGGGGGGCGGATGTGACAACCCAGCGGCTCAGTCGCTAGGAGGAAGATATAAGGGAAGTAGTATGGGCGCTGAACGTTCATTCTCAGCCTTACAGTTGGCGACTTGTCAGTTTTTGGATGTGACAGCGAACGAAGCATTTGAGGTACTTTTTGGCATCCCGAGACGCTTGTATAGCTTCTAAAACAAGAATGGGCACCAGGCATCAAGATAGCACTCCGACCCGTTAAAAGGTTTCCAAATCCCAAAGCAGGGCGCCTAAGGGACGGAGGGCGGCTCTGCCTGGAACGGCCCCTATGACATAGTTTGCATTTCTCCTCGGCGAAATCCCGACCACGCCGCTGGCCACGCTTAGTAGCAGAAATATAGCGACGTGGCTCGTTGTCTGATATGGTAATTGTGAACGTAAATCCTTTATTCAGAAAGTAAATTTAAAGTAGATTTTCATGCAGGTGGTGGTAAATATTGCCCGCACAGATTGCATAGCGTTAATATGCCTGGATTCCGCAGCTGCACACAGAGGCGACTAGTACCAGCGGGAGTCATTTGTTCATTACTGCCCCAGTCCTCGCAAAGAACGCGCTGCAGCAACTAATTTGGACATCAGCTGGAGCCCGTGGGTTACGCGATAGAAGTTTTTTTGCGAACTGGTTGTACATACATGCCACTGAAACGATTCCAATTCGATGTCCTAAGCAATGATAAGTGTATTACACCTGCAGCCCATCACACGCTGATCTACGCTGTCGAGCTCTTAAAGACCGTCTGGCGGCGAACGGAGTACGACGATCTGGTCCCAGATGGACCCAAATGTCCATACCTATGTTAAAGAGCTTCGTCTCTACATCGTCAAGCCAGTAGGGAAGGCGGTCGCGTTGGAAAGGACGCCTTTCCGCCTGCGCTTAACGTGTCGTCACGACAGCCCCCGAACACCGCACACCGTCCCCGGCGACCCCGCAACACCAGCTCGTACGGTAAATACATGTATTGCAACACCGGTCGACAGGGGGCGCCGCTGGCGGGGGGTGGGCGGGGGTGGGGCGGCGCCGCCCGCTACAGCGGCCCGCCGCTACAGAAACGTGACGCCGACGCCGAACTGCAGGCCATGTACGGGCCGGTCGCCGCGCTGCGCGCGCACCGGCAGACAGTAGTTGAGCTCGAGCCGTGCGATCTCGCCTAGCCGCATGGAGAGGCCGGCGCCGTACGCCAGCCTGAGCCCGCTCATCAGCAGCTCGGCGTTCTTGGCCGCGTCGTCGCCTGCGACAGGGGGCGGCGTCAGCGGTGTGTGCTTCACGCGCGGACCGTGGCCCGCGCTCGCCGACCGTGGCGTCACGCGGGGGCTACCGGCGTGACGTCACAGAGAGCCAGAGGTGACTGGCCGGCCGTGGTCAGGGCTGGATGACGACGGCTGACAGTGGCGAGAACGGGACAAGACGCACGCAGGCAAACCCTACTCCGTGCGAGAGTGGCGGGCCGGTACGCAGATGGACCCCGTTAAGCATCGCCGCACAAACGTCCGGCGTGAGCCTCGTGCCGGAGCACCGTCACACCGCGCCGTCTGGGCGGGCGTCGCCACAGACCCGGGCTGCGATCGACCGCGCTCGCGTGCCGTCGGCCGCGCTCGCCGCCTGTCCGCCGCGCCGGGACCGTTGAAACACATTGCCAGAACGCACCATACAGTTCAGTACCGCAGCGCCCCGAGTGTGCGTCACGCGGCACGCGAACGACCTGAGTTATCAGTCATGTGACGCGGTGCCACGGAGGCGGGACACAGCGCCATTGTCGACCCCGCGGACGGCTCCTCGGTGCTCGCACCCGAGTAATGACCCCGGACAAACAAATGGCACTCGGGAGATTGAGTACTTGGAGCATTTGAAGACGACGCGGACGCTGTCATTGCTCCAACATCGATCCCAATTAAGAGAAGCGTTTGAGCCGGTCGGCAAAAGGTCATCATCGTCCAAAAGGGAAATTAGTTGTGTCTCAAGGGGCCGAGCAGGCTATGGAGCATCGTCACCATAAACAACGGGCTGCAATTACTGAAGGTAGCCTGAACGGCATTGGAAGCGTATAGCAAAATAACCGCGCGTGTTCTCACGTTAATTTTCCCTGGACTCGAGTAATTTACTTAACGACCTGGCCGGAGCAGACGGGTAGAGGAAATGGCCCGTCGCTGTCATTACACCGACGGCGAGCTGCATTCCGCAGGGGCGCCATGTCAGGGGGGACCAAGGGCCACCAGCCCCGCAGAACGGATGATTTGGGTCATTTGGCTTCTCTTGCACTGGTCTCAAGCAGGCAGCCCCGATGAAGGCCTGTCCATTCTTTGACGCTAGCGTCAGATGACGAGGATGTTGAACAGTACAGCGAAGTGCACGCTGCAGAGAAATCAGCCGTCCCTCTCCTGAGCGCGGTGCCTGAGGCCGCCTACGGGGCGAGACGGGTCTGACGGCCTGGTTTGACTCACTGGCTCGTGCGCTCCGCGCTAGTGAGTGGTCGACCCACGAGACAGAGGACAGTGATCTGTTTATACCCCGCTCGCGTACTGAGATGGAGAAAACAACGTTTTTCATCTGAAGGTGCCGTGACCTATTTACGATCCTCACGGCCTTTTAGCCGCCCATTTGTCTGCTAACCATGAGTTTTTCGGGATTGTCCGGGTGTTCCGGAATCGCCTATATGTGTGTTCCAGTGTGTTTGTTTTTGAATGACTATCTTTATCCTCACGACTTTTTGCCGTCCCTTCATCTGCTTACTGTGGGTATTAAACGCCCGGAGTTTATTCGGGTTCGCCCACATACAATCAATTAGGAACAAAACACCAGACGTGACAACACGCTGTGGCTGGCGTGATGCGCGCTCACCGAGTCTGAAGTTACCGATGTTACCCGTGTTGACGAACAGGTGGGTTCGGAACAGCTCGCCGAAGCCACCCTTCGTCCTCCGGAACGGCAGCGGCGTGTATAGGTGCAGCGCCGCCGCCCAGTACATCTGAAACCGGGCCGACTGTGAGCGCGGCGCGCGGACAACTGGTCAACAGGCTGCACGCGGTCCGGGCGGGCGCGACCGGCGGCCGGACTACAGCACTGCGCCGCCGCCCGCAGACAGCCGGGCCTCGGCCAGAGCGAGGAGCGGCGAGGCCCCGCCTGACACACGGCACAGCCGTAGCGCCGAGTCGGAGCCTTCACCAGCGGCCAGACGCCGCCCCGTCCCGTCCCACCGGCCCCGCCGCCGCCCGGCGCCCGGTGCGTGGCGGGACGCCTCCCGCCTCCCGCCGCCGCCCCCCCCCCCCCCCCCGCCCGCCGCCGCCGCCGCCGCCGCCACCGCCGCCGCCGCCGCCGCCGCCGCCGCCGCCGCCGCCGCCGCCGGTTCACTCACATCGGCCCCGGTGAAGGCGCCGTCCGACTGCGGGCCGATGCCGCGCGTCTCGAAGCCGCGCACGTTCAGCGGCCCGCCCAGGAAGAAGCGGTCGCAGATGCTGTACGTCTTCTCCGGGTACATGGGCTTCATGTGGCCGCCCAGCAGCGAGCCCTGAAGCGTCTGGCGGCACAGGGATGACAATCGGTGACGGTCACGTCTCGGGGCGCTGGTTCGCGACCGACTGGCGGCCAGGTGACGCTGTATGCACACCAGCCGTGCTGTGCAGTCTCTCAGAGCAGGGACAGGCGCCCACCGGACATCGGAGGCGTTCCATCAAAGCCCGGGGGACTGTGGGCCAAGCTGATGCAGTGAGCAAAGCGAGGTGACATCGTAGTTCCATTCCCTCGACAATCTGCAGTTCCTAAAGGCGTGCCACTCGGGCGCGTCTCGAAACAGGGCTGCGCCGAGCCGCCGGAGCGGCCGCCTGCCCGGGCCTTACAACGTCGAACGGTAGAGGCAAGTTGTACTGCAGCTCAGCTTCGTGCTTGAGAAAGCCGACGTTGCCGCCGAGGCCAGCCAGCTCTTGGTTCAGCCTGCCGGAGGAGCGGCGGCGGGTTAGCGGGCGCTCCTTCGGTGGCGGAGCGCCGGGCGAAGCGGCAGCCAGCGGACGCCGGCGTCGGCCCGTCCGGCACCGTCTGACGGCCGACCGACACACAGACGGCCAACGGCAACGTATGGACGCCGCACGCAACACGCCTAGCGATGCAGCGGAGTCCACTACCTAACTAGCTGTATGGAGGACGGCCAACGACGTACCGAGAGGCTGGCTCTACACAGACCATAGGCCGGAACGAAACGCGTTCCAAACGACCGAACACCTGCAGAGGGTGGCGAGCTCAGCCAGTGGTCAGCCCGCCCTCCCGGCCCTGCCCGCCTCCAGGCCCTCCCGGTACTGCCCGCCCTCCTGGTCCTCCCGATGTTCCCGGTCCCGCCCGGCCCAGCCCCGTCCGGACTGCCCCAGCCGGCGCCGTCACTGACCGTAGCAGGGCGCCCTCCGTCGGGAAGATGGATGAGTCGCGCTTATCGACCGTCAGGACGTGTTTAACGGCCGACTTGAGCGAGTGGCCGGCCTCCTTGCGCACGTCGAACGGCGTGGCGCGGTCCAGACAGGCCAGCTCGCGCCAGGCGACGTCGTACCGCAGCGAGTGGGTCACCTGGCGACGGCGCAGCAGCAGCCGGTCAGCGGCCGGCCGCAGAGCAGTCCTCTGGCACCAGGCCGGCGGCACCGAGCCACAGATCGGCTGGATCACAGCCGCAGCTGCTGAGCCGGCATCACTGACACGCCCGCGTAGCCCCGGCCCCGGCACACATCGCCATGTAACGGCGCCCGGCCGGCGCTGCTGGGCTCGTCTCGTCTCGTCGCTGGGTGCGATGGCGAGTCTGACCGGGCCGCGGGAGCCCGCCGGCGGCGCCAGCCCGCTGACGGCGCGGGAGGGAGTCTGGCGCCGGCTGACGCACGTCCGTGGCAGCAGGGGCCCACCGGCGGCGCCAGCCCGCTGACGGCGCGGGAGGGAACCTGGCGCCGGCTGACTCACGTCCGTGGCCGAGCGGAAGCCGAGGTCCAGCAGCACGCCGCGGTCCACCTGGCGGAATCCCGACCACGGCAGGTCGGCGCCCGACTGGTACACAGAGCCGGTCACGCTGCAACGGCGCACGCCGAGTGTTAGAAGGGACTGCGGCAGGCCAGAGTCCGACCAGCACACAGAGCCGGACACCGCAACAGCGCACGCTGAGTGACAGAGGGAACTGCGGCAGGCCCAGAGACCGACTAGTACACAGGGCGGGACACTGCGACAGCGCACGCTGAGGGTTAGAAGGGACCACGGCAGGCCCGAGTCCAACTGGTACACAGAGCTAGATACTGCGGCAGCGCACGCCCGGTGCCCCGGACGCCCCATGTTGGTGCAGCTTCTCCCGCACCACCCCCCCCCCCCCCTGACCTCTGCCAGACCTCGAGCGCTTTAGTCCGCCGGCGCGCCGGACTCCGAACATCAGCGCGCGGCGCCCGAGCCTGGGACCGGCCCGGCGTCCATCGGCACGCCCCGCCCGGCCGCGGCCGGCCACTCACGTGGTGCGCGCCGCGTTGTGGAAGGGCTTGAGCAGCGCCACGTTGATGCCGGTCGTCTGGTTGGTGCCGTACGTGTACTCGCCCTGCAGCCGCTCACCGCGGCCGACCAGGTTCGGCATGCGACAGCTCAGCACCAGCGAGCCCTCATTCTGACCCACCAGCGTGTTGATGCCACCCACCACTCGGCGCAGCTCCTCCACCTCGAACGTCACCTGGCGGCGGCACGGAAGCGGTCGGAGGGCGGCGCCAGGGCTGCCGGAGGACGGCACGGGCCGGACCGCGCTTGTCTTCCAGCATGCGCCATGCGCCGGTGTGGTGTTATCGCCACCACGGCGCCGAGATACGGAGAGAGCTGGCAAAGGCCACGACACTGACGCTGAGGCATGTCGTCCAAAGGCTAGCACAGCCTAGCGCACGGCGCGCGCCAGTTCGCTGCATTTATCGATAAGCAGGAACGTTCCGAAACAAAGTGACACTGGATGGACGCAAAGGGGCACAACGAGGCTGGCGGAAAATAAAACACGAGCGAGTCCCGTATCTCTCATATACAATCCCACAGCGGGAAGAAAAGTGAAGGTCCGAGGGTGCGTCCACATTCAGTAACACACTTCACACACCCGCAAAGCCCCACACGCCGACACGCACACTTGACCGGCAGGTGCCCCTCCCGCGTCACCCTTGCGCAGCCGCCGGCGCCCCCTCCCCCTGGCTGGACCACACCCGGCGCCCCCTCCCCCCCGACACTCACCTCGAGACCCTTGTTGGCACCCCCCGCGGCACTCACCTCGAGACCCTTGTCGGTGGCGTCCGGGCCGCGGCTCGTGTCGATGAACACGTCCACGCTGCGGAAGCAGCCCAGCTGCTCCAGCCGCGTGCGCACCTCGTGCGAGCGCGTGATCACCTCCTCGAAGTTGGCCGCCTCGAACAGCGGCTGCACGCTGTCCTGGACCAGGTCGTCCCGCGTGCGGCCGACGCCGTCCACGTGCACCTTGTCGATGCGGGCCTGGCGGCGAAGTTGGCCGTGTCAGCGGCAACAGGCGGGTTCACCGGCCGCATCCCGCTGGCTCTCCCTCCCACTGGCTTGGAGTCATGGCTACCTCACTGGCCGCGCCACCGTTTATGGAGAGGAACGCGCAAACAACATCAACGTCATCTGCGTGTAGTTCGTATCAGGTTGTCTGTTGACACAGTTGGGTGCACCAGAGTGGTCCATATTTCTCGACTTTACGATGTTCCATGTGGCCGCCCGCAAATTGTACGGTGAAACATGAAAACAAATATTGCGAAGTTTGGAAGTGATCGAATCATATTTAGAACAGCTCCAGAGCAGCTGCAGTTGGTCAAGCTCCGCATGATGTCGCGTTGCGTTCTCCAACACATCAGCATCGGAAAATATGAGCCAAACAGCTCCCACTGCATTGTCGTGAATTCCCCTTGCCATAGCAGGTAACTACGTGTTTCTTCCCTCACGAAAAACGGCTGTCTCAAACATGAGACGCAGCCAAACATGTTTAGCCGGGTCCCAATCAACCCGAAGCTATTACGGCAGTACGATACGTCTTGGCAGCATGACGCTGTGACCCGAACCCAAACATACAACATAAAGTTCACTAGAACTGCATGACGTCTGCAATAACAAGTAGTCATTTGAGACTGATTAGTGTTGATCTTCATAGCATACCAGCTATAATGAGGGACAAATCATGTCTCCTTCCATCCTGTTCCCCGTAAGACTAACGACAATTCCGTCGGTGTGCTTGGCGAAAATTTATCACGTCAATTATTTGTTTCGGTCTATAAAAATGCAGAGAAAAGCTTCGGGGCGCATCCAATCCCTTCAATCCTCTTACGAGCGCGGGGCAGTCTGGGCTTGCTCCAATGTTAATTGGCCCATAACTTTGCAGCCAAGTGGATCTCCAATTGTCCAGCTCCAGCGGATCGGCACGGCCGCCGACAGACGTCTTAAGGCCTTATAGCTTTGCAATCACTCACCGCGTAGCATGCAGTTTTCAGCAACCATTAACAAAATTACAAGTTGTGCTGCATTGTTTTGGTGGTATTTGCTTGCATGGAGTTTCATCAAGAGTGCTTTTGCAGCACTCCGGAGGCCTGACCCTTTCCATTCGTCCAAAGAGAGCAACGCACGATCGGGAACCTGACCCCTTCCATTCCATCAAAGAGAACAACGCACGATCGGGAACCTGACCCTTTCCATTCGTCTAAAGAGAGCAACGCACGACCGGAAACCTGACCCTTTCCATTCGATAAACAGGACAACGCAAGATCGGAAAATCGCGGAAATCTGAGCTAAGATCAAAACCAGGTGCCAATCCCGGCGACCCAGGGTCGCTCCGACCTCTGAGACCAGCACGGGTTGCCGTACAGTCATGGTGACTGTGTGGGTGGATGTGCGCCGCCGGTCACTCGGACTCGAGGGCAAACCACTGAGAACCCGGCGCTGCGGCGGTTTGGGGGAATGGTGTCAGATCTCAGCGACTGGAGAAGTACGGTCAAAACCGACCGCATAGTAAAAGCGAATCTGTTGTCTGCAAAGCACTAAAGGAGCCCAGCACTACCCGATCCAAGAAGACGCCAGTAAGTAGCTGGTCAAGGGCCGGTGTCGCGTCTTCGGGGTCCCGTATCGAAAATCGTCCCCCCATACCCAGAACGCCGCGCCAAGCCGAGCTAGGCTGAGCTACTCGAAATGTGCAGTACCTTGAGCACAGCTCGCGGCAACGTTTATAATTTCTGTCATCCGCTACATCGACAGGGACTGCAAGGCTTGGTCACGCTCATGCTCAGACAGATTGCAAACACATCATGTGTGACTTGTGCGCGAGCGCTGTGTCTCATAAGAGAGTTTTGCCGGTATAGCTCTAGAGAGAGGATATTTCAATGAATCGATAAGGCCCATTTGCGAGGTTTCCCAAAGGCGACTGGCTGCATTTACTGTCGTTTTATTGTTGTTCTTATCCACATGATAACAACGATAACAATCACGAATGCTCCACTGCGGCCGTCTCATCCGCAAAAGACGTCTCAAAGTTGTCCATAAACTGCCTTGGACTTTTCTTTAATCCCTATCCGTGAGAGCAAGCCATTCATGGCCTGAGCAGAGACCCGCCGGTCCACTTCCAAAGCCTGGGCAGTAATCCACACTGTCTGCCACTGGTCCGTCGGTCGCAGATGTGGCGGCGGCCGTGGGGAGCTCGACACCTGCCCGACACAGCATGCGGCGGGGGTTGCCCGCCAGACTGGCCGACTCCGCGCCGTCCGACGGCGCCATCGGTCCGCCGGGCCCACACCCACCTGGATCGTCTTGAAGTGGTCCAGCATGGAGCGCTCCTCGCCCGTCGGGCCCAGGTCGTCGCCGGCCACGGCCTGAGGGCACAGTGCGGGTCAGCAGACAGCGCAGGCCGGCGACCGGGGGCCACGGCGCCCGACTGCCAGGAATGGAGGGAGCCGGACACATCACAGTGTGGGCGGCATGTCGGACGACATCGTGTAGGCGCAGAGTCGTGGTCACTTGATGCGGCAAGAATGGCCTCTGGTCGAAGACAGTTGGTTGTTGGATTACGGATGAACATCGTGAAGTTCACTTCCTGCATACACTATGCAGTGGTTAAACGTCATGCGCTATGCGAAAATCCATCGCACATGTGATACTGAGCCGTCGCACTTCCGTCCTCGATAACACCACGCAACACGTTGTCAGTAGGGGAACGACATCCGACAAAACCGGGTAGTGGGCGCGGTAAACCCTCCTCGCAATATATGCCTTGAGCAACACCAACTCGAGTCACCGGCGGCGGAAGCTCTCGGTAATGCACAGCCGCGTGCGCTCCCACGCCCCCCCCCCCCCCCTCCCCCCCCCCCCCCCCGGCGCCGGCGCCGCCGCTGACACGCCATCGCCAGCTGGGCTGGTGCCCAGTTTTTCCGCACATCACTTGTGCAGAAGTAATAAATGTTGTCGCCCATGGCAGGTGCACATCCATCTCCACTGCGAGACGGCATTCATCGGGTCCGACAACCAGCACGTGGCACGTAATAGCGACGGATTCGATGGCGCCTCCCCCCCCCCCCCCCAATTCAGCGAAATTAATGTCAGGTATCGTGCACAGGCCTATGCCTACTGTTTCGATGAGAAACTAACTACTTTGGGTTCAATATATTTCGGTCGCTGACGTTTATCAGTTGTAAGTTTAAAACGTACTTTGGTTTGCACTTTAAATTGATAAAGGTCAGTGACTGAAATATTTATTCTTTTTTGTCGGAAGCGAGCATACGGCTATGCAAGACATGGCATGTTTCCAATTATGCTGCTCATATTCACGCTACGACGCCTTAAATGTTATATTACGTCTATGGCGCGGCAATAGACAACACAAAGCGACGCTTGTGCCCAACTCCTCAGACGTCGCCCGCTACAGATCGGACAGCCCCGCCCCTTTCCAGCCCCGCCTCTGTCCCTGCCCTCGCACACAACCATCCCCGGTTCTTTTGTCCCTCGCCACCGAGGCACGCCAGCCGCCCGGATCGGCGGGAGGTTGCCGGCAGTGGTAATCAACGACGCAACGGCGCCGACGGCTGTGCACGGGGCCGTCGTGCGCCGGCAGGGTGACATCGACCAGGGGTCGCGCCGCCGGCCGCGGCGGCAGCGGACCAGTCCAGACCCCACGCGGCCGCCGGGTGCACGGCCCCGGATCGGCAGGCCCATGGCACCGCGTGGGACGTCGTTATGGCTGCTGCTGGTCCTAGTCCTCAGGTACGTGGCATCCGCAGCTGGGAGGGTAAGCTCTCGGCACTGAGATGCCAAACAAAACGGCACGAGCGTTTCCCGCGGGCGGGCGCAAGGGGGCGGGCCAAAAACTTAGCTTACTGCCTCTTATAAGGCAAGTCCGCAATCAAAACAACTTGGGAATCGCCACTGTGCCGGCCGCCACATGTCGCGCTTGTGAGCGGCGGTCGCTGACCTTCCGGGGTCACAGGCGTGTCCCGAGGCGCGCACCCGTGACCCGAGGCGCACACCCGTGACCTGGGGCATACACCCGTGACCCGGGGCGCGAACCCGTCACCCGGGACGCACACCCGTGACCCGGTGCGTGTGCTTCACACCCCTGACCGCCGTTTCAGCGTGATGTTGTGGCCGGCGACGGCCGCCGCCGCCGCCAACGACACGGACTGCGCGCCACCGTCGGCCGCGCGGCTCATCCCGGCCGACTACGACCGGCTGCAGGCGCCGTTCAGCGCTGGCCGGCCACTGACGGTGCACCTCTCCGTCTGGGTGTCGGCCGTCACCTCGGTCAACGAGCTGCAGCAGGAGTTCTCGGTGGCGCTGTACCTGCGGCTCAAGTGGCGCGACCACCGCGTCACGTTCCCGCGCTGCCGGCGCGAGGCGTTCGTGCTGATCGAGGCGGCCGCGCTCGACAGACTCTGGCTGCCCGACATCTACTTCGGCGGCGAGAAGCGCGCCGCGCGCCACGCGGTCGTGCGCCGCAACGCGGCGCTGCGGCTGAACCGCATCGACTCCAGCCTCTACCTGTCCGAGCGACTGAGCCTCGCCATCATGTGCAGCTACGACTTCCAGCTGTTCCCGATGGACTTGCAGGTGTGCATGATGAACATGGAGCCGTACGCGCACGACAAGCAGTTCATCGATCTGAGCTTTGAGCAGCCCGGCATCTACTTTAACAACTTCAAGTTCCGCATCCCGCAGTTCCGACTGACACGGGTAGTGCCCGGCAACTGCAGCTACACGTACATCTACCAGGGCACGACGTTGCGTCAGTCGTGCGTCCGGGCTGCCTTCTTCTTCGAGCGCACGTTCAACTACTACCTGCTGCAGATCTACGTGCCCTCCGTACTGATCGTCATCATCAGCTTCCTCGGCTTCTTCGTGCCGGTGAACCTGGTGCCGGGCAGGATTGCACTCTCCATCACCACGCTGCTGACGTTGGCCACCCAGTCGCAGGCACTGCAGAAGTCGCTGCCGCCCGTCTCCTACATGAAAGCCAGCGACGTGTGGATGTTCGCCTGCATCCTGAGCGTGTTCGCCACGCTGCTCGAGTTCACGCTGTCGTACCGGCACTACGAGCGGCGCCAGCGCGCCGCCGCCCGCGTCGGTCCTGTGGAATGCGCCACACGGCTGGGCAGCTCCGGCGGGCGACACCTCTGCATGCGGCGCCGGTTCCTGCTGGCCGCCCGCTCGCCGCACTTCGTCGACAGCATGGCCAAGGTCATCTTCCCGGCCGCCTTCACGCTGTTCAACGTGGTGTACTGGCTTTACTTCCTAGACATGCGCGAGCGCAGGCACCGGTACGACACGAGGCATTACATCGCCTGACGACGCCACGGACACGGATCGAACGGAAAATACGGAGGGGAGATGTGGAGAAGATCTGACGAAACGGAAACGAAAAGGTACTAGAAAAAGGATAGTTGTGCAGCCTTTGGTCTTGAATGTTTGGTAAAATACCAACGAGCTGACGGTTAGCTACGGGCAGTGCCTTGTGCCTCAAACATAGTTAGGGATTTGACTGCCTGACAGTATGCACAAGAGCCCACCGGCACCACAAGAAACTCAAGTATTCGCTTCACTTCGCTATTTGGTCATGGTTCCAGCCAATCATTATCTGTCTCAGGCCAGTTTAGAAACCAAACTTGTTCGCACAAGCGCCTTTGAATAAATGTTTACCTTTGGTTTTCGATGACTTTACCCTATTGTATGATTAGATGAAACCAATGGCCGCGATACACGAGTAGACAGTGAAGTTCAAATATACCTCCCACGTCAGTAATAATAGGTAAAGCTGAATTCAAGTGGGACGCTATCGATATCAAACGCTGTCAGCTAATGACCCTTACCAGTCACTTCGAGCAGCAGCTCCCGTCCAAATGACCTCCATCACTGAGGTGCGAGCGAATGCAAGCGTGAAGAACAGGCATTTGGTGCCTTGGCGAAGCTCCAAATGTGCCGACACGCCGTGCATCTGGTGCAACGGCGAGGCCCGAATGTACCGACGCGCCGGGCATCTGGTGCAACGGAGAGGCCCAAATGTGCCGACGCGCCGGGTATCTGGTGCAACGGCGAGGCCCAAATGCGCCGAGCGCCGGGCATCTGATGCAACGGCGAAGCCCAAATGTGCCGAGGCGCCGTGAATCTGGTGCAACAGCGAGGCCCGAATGTACCGACGCGCCAGGGAATCTGGTGCAACGGCGAGGCCCAAATGTGCCGACGCGCCGAGCCATCTGTTTGCAACGGCGAAGCCCGAATGTACCGACGCGCATGTCCCTCCTGAGAGGACAAGCGGACCTGCATTATAACCCACATAGGATTCCGATATCACATACCCCCCGGCTCATTATCAAATCCCTTTGATCGCCATCCATGACTGGGAAGCACGCTAACGCAACCCGACGTTTCACCCCAGCGTTACAAAATCACACGCGAACGGTCATCGAAACGCATGTTGTTTCTATTCCGGCTGAGCACATTGGAAGCAATCGAATCACGGAAGGATTCACACCATGTGTTAGTATCACGGACAGTATAACTGTTTGGACTGCCGTCCTCGTCTGGGACTTTTGCATGCTCGCACCGTTTCGGCCAATTAGCTCTCCGGCCGTTGACAGGTGTTATGGAGTCATGGGAGGGACTGGATGATGTTTCACAAGATCTTGTCTCAAATCCCAGAATTGTTCTCCGGCCAGTTGACAGGTGTTATGGAGTCCTGAGAGGACTGGATGATGTTCCCAAGATCTTGTCTTAAATCCCAGAAATTGTTCTCCGGCCGTTGACAGGTGTTATGGAGTCCTGAGAGGACTGATGATGTTCCCAAGATCTTCGTCTCAAATCCCAGAAATTGTTCTCCGGCCGTGACAGGTGTTATGGAGTCCTGAGAGGATTGGATGATGTTCACAAGATCTTGTCTAAATCCCAGAAATTGTTCTCCGGCCGTTGACAGGTGTTATGGAGTCATGAGAGGACTGGATGATGTTCCCAAGATCTTGTCTTAAATCTCAGAAATTGTTCTCCGGCCGTTGACAGGTGTTATGGAGTCATGAGAGGACTGGATGATGTTCCCAAGATCTTGTCTTAAATCCCAGAAATTGTTCTCCCGGCCGTTGACAGGTGTTATGGAGTCCTGAGAGGACTGGATGATGTTCACAAGATCTTGTCTTAAATCCCAGAAATTGTTCTCCGGCCGTTGACAGGTGTTATGGAGTCCTGAGAGGACTGGATGATGTTCACAAGATCTTGGTTCAAATCCCAGAAATTGTTCTCTCCGGCCGTTGACAGGTGTATGGAGTCATGGAGGGACTGGATGATGTTCCCAGATCTCGAGTTCAAATCCCAGAAATTCCAGAGAGAATTCGGCTCGTAGCCGGCGAGGATGACTGAAAGACAAACATCATCCAGCCCTTTTAAGAACCACGTAAGACCTGACTAGGGCCGTAGGAGTCACTTTCCGGAACGTCGTGTAAATACTAACACACCAGACGGGCATTAGAGTTCGAAGCTGTTATGCTGGGATAAAAATGCCAGAAGGTACTGGCTGCGCAGCTCGCAATTGCAATTCATCGGAATGTGCAATTCATGGGAACGAAGTCTGGGTGACGGACTGTTCCACGATTGGACAGCAACTTGACAATCTATCACGAAATTTTCATTGTTGGCGGCACTTACTGTATGGCTATGGTATTGTACGAACTAAGGATGTCACTGGGATATCAGCTCGCGACGGGGGAAAGTCATTCGTAACCATGCGCACTGTCAAAACGCTGACAATTAAGTACATACATGCATACATATGTATAAAAGTGCGCACATATGTGTGCATGAACACACACACACACACACAACACACACACACACACACACACACACACACACACACACACACACACCACCACACACACCACACACACACACACACACACGCACGCACGCACGCACGCACGCACGCACGACGCACGCACGCACGCACGCAGCACGCACGCACGCACGCACGCACGCACGCACGCACGCACGCACGCACGCACGCACGCACGCACGCACGCACGCACGCACACACACACACGCACACACACACACACACACACACACACACACACACGCACACACACACACACACACACACACACACACACACGCACATATAGATATAGGTATATATATACATATAATATAATAATATATAATAATATAATATATAATATAATATATATATGCATATAATACATATAATATACATACATATATACATATAATTATTTCTTTATATGATGTCCATCATCGCTCTCGCATTCGCTCCCATCACCGAAGTCGTGGCGACGATCATTGTATGAAACACTTATGTTAAAGTGATTCAATAATACCTATCAACCACATCAATCAAACATAATTTGGCACCACCAGTGATGATACAAAGCATGCCCGCGGGGCCATCGTCACTCATGCTGCGCATGGCTCACCCAGCCTGTGCCGGGCACACACCTCTGACCAGCCACCAGCCGACGACAACGCATGCAGTCAGACTACACAGATCACCACCTCCCTCGCTCGCTCGCCCACTCTTCCCTTCGCTCTCGCCCTCGCTCCCGTCCGCCCCCCCCCCCCTCCCGGAAACAGCTTGTGGAGTCCTTGCTAAGCATGGATCGTTGCAGACCGTGCCACGGGCCGAGCGAGTTTAATGGTGTGTTCACACAGGTGCATTTCACGTGTGTCGACACACAAATGTTCCTTTAAGCGAGTCGGGCACGCGTCAAAACCAGTTAACGTCATGAGACATTGTGGCTGGAAATTGGCGATTGGCATGAAAAACTAACTACCCAAGGGGCTCAAATTGAGGTTCAAAGACAGCGCGCTTGCTGCGATGTTAGTCATGCCTAAGGTGAATGAACACATTGCTTGCCCTGTATGAGGCCTGTACGTTTAAATCATCTTAAATATGCAGATGCACGAGAAAGCTGCAATCAATAAGGCGCCGCTTATCTCTTTAAATACGTAAATTTGTATCAGTGGCATAGCTCGTTAGAGTGCCTCCCTTACGATTCAGCCACCTTTGGCGGCGTGGGTTCGAGTCCCTTTGGGTTCTCGATGTTTGACCCTGACTAGGGTGGCTTGCAGTCGGCGGCAGCGGCCGTGCTCAATGGTCTGGTGACATCGTCGGGCGTGACGACTGGCAAGGCGGACCATGCGGAACGGACGGTGTAACGGACAAAAATCCCGAGAACTTCGACCATGTTAAACTTTCACCGCAAACGATGCCGCGGGTGGGAATTTCACGGACCAGGCGGCGAAGCCACGCTCACGCAACAACCACTGCCTCGGCGCGGGAGCTGATCCCAGAATCCAACCAATCAAAGTTGGATGAAAATGTTCAAAACATGCATGAGAAAAATACGTTGCTGATAGGCATTCAAACCATACAACCAAAATTGTCTGGACTCCTGTTTCTCGGCCAGTTAAGGCTCAGTTTCTCGACTCCTTCCCGGCAAGGAAGCAGCCGGTTCATCGGCCGTGTGACCGGCCCGGCCGGCCACACTTTTCCCGGACGTATATCTTTACAGCCACTAATTGTACTGCCATGATTTCCCGCCAAAAGTAGCGCAATTATCTAAAATTGTTTTGGCATATTTTCGAGCACTTCAGTGTAGGCTATCTGATCACGTAGTGTATTCATGCAGCATTGCAGTATCGCCACGATCTTATCGGCCCATCCAACTGGTACGCGGGAAATGCGGGATTTCCGACCGCGACAAGGCTGACAACTGCGGCTTGAAAACCGCTCGCAATCTTGGCGGCCATATATTGCAGCGATATGAAACGAACTGACAATGACAGAACGGAAAACGGACAACCGTAAAACCAAAAGTATGCGTTTATGTGTGCCGGCCGACCCACACCATTGTAAGGCAAACCATGCAACCACCCACTCAGAGGGCTTGCAAGGATTTATGTAGGATCTCAGCAGCAGGGGCAGATGGAGACCAGAAGTCTGCCGCACAGTGCAGGTGAACGTGCTGACTGCAGATCATCAGCCAGCCAGCAACACTGTCCGACCCACAGGTATGCCCATAGGACCATAGGTGGGCCCGAAATCCGCCAGCAAAGTAGGCAATGTCACATTCTCAGAAATTGATCCTTTCTGGGAGACGCCGTGGCATAAACCGTGAGGCATTGAGCCATGAAACCTACGAGGGTGTTGAGCCCTGTTCGTTGTGGCCAATGTCCAACCAAGATCAAGATATTCGCATATTCCGTCATACTTTGGTCACTGTTGCGAAAACCATAAACCATCGCAAGCTAAAGATTTTGTCGATTGAAATGTTCGGCAAGGC